ATGGGACCAGCTCCATTTCTCCACCGTCCCTCTGGGCCCCGCCCACCCTGAAAGCTCCTCTTGGCTGCACCTCGGAGAATGACGTCAGGTGGGGAGGGCTCTCACACAGGCTCCTCTGGGAGACCACCTCTCCACTCCCACCTGATGGTCCCCAAACCAGCCATCTTGTCCGTTTTCTCTGCCTTTCGGCGCACTAACAGTTAAGCCGATCTCGGGCTCTGACATTTCCCCCCTCCGCCAGCAGAGGATCTCCTCCGCCTAGTGAATTACTGAGTGTTTGGAAAGGTGTGGGTGGGGACCAAGTTAAAAAAAAAATTTAAAACCCCAACACACACCCACACAAAACCTCTAGTGCCACACCCACAGCCTCCCGCTGGGTATGTATCTCTGAGCCCAGGACCTGGTCGTCTTGGAGGGCCTTGAAGCTGGGTGGAGACTCCCTGGAGGGCTCTCACCCCTCTGTCTGGTCCGCAGGCCTGACCATGGCCTGTGGCCCGGGCCAGCTCTGGGGAGGCCTGAGGTCTGTTCAGCCTAGCGACCCAGCTACTTCCCAAATCCAGGCCTCCAGTTTGGGGCTGGGGTCGTGCAGTCGAATTGGATCAGCGTGTGGGCTGCGGACCTGAAGGGCGGTGGTCCTGGGAAAGAAACGCGTCCACTTACCTTTGGAGATGAGGGAGGTTCAGAAAGGTGGGGGGTGGAGTGTTCGTAGCCTCGGAAAACCCTCTTGGTCCCCCTTTTCCATGGCCGCCCTCAGGCCCAGCCAAGGTATCGGTCGAGGGCGGGGCGGGAGAGGCGGAGGGAGCGGCCAGCGGCAGGCGAGCAGGGGCTGAGTTGCAGAGCATCTCTGGCGAGGCCGCCTTTTATGGGCGTTATTAGCGCCCCTGTCTAGACTGGCGACGACACCTCCTCTGTGTGTAAACAGAGAGCGGCGGGCTCTGGCGGGAAGGGGAAAGGCGCTTCGAGGGGGTGAGCGGCCCTCCCCTCTGCTGCCCACCGGAAGATCAAGGCCTTTTCTACCCTCCCCCCTCCGTGTACTCCCAGTGATGTCAAGGTCAGAAAGACCTAGTCACGGTCAAGGCTAAAAGAGGAGGAGCCTGGTTGGTTGCAAAGAGACACTGGCCCGTCCTCCTCCCAGAAGCCCCTTGCTCCCCTGGGCCCCTCAATCCTTCCCCCAGCTCAGGTCTGGAAAGCGGTCCTGAAAGTGCACTTGGGGCTTGGGGGTGGGCGGGTTGCAGGCAGGTCCTGGGGAGGAGAGTGCTCTTTTGAACTGGATGGTGCTACAGAGGGGGCTGCTTCAGGGTCCCCAGCTCCAAAGGGAGGGCTGTTCAGAGAGCCTATGGCTGCCTTGTGCCCACACTGGTCTGCTGGCCCTGCACTGCTGACCCAGCCGATGTGGACGCGCCTCCTAGCAGATGGTCTCCGAGACTTGCACAGAGGAATCGCCTGAGAACTGCTGGCCTTGCCCCCTCAGGTGGGTTCCCGCTGTGTCTTGGGAAGACCAGCTGAAAGGCTGAGACTGAGATGCTGGAGGCGAAAGGTTTTGCGCCCAGGCTCCAGAATGGATCTAGTGGCAGCTGGACCTCCGGATGGGGAGTCTTGTGAAGTCCCAAGCCCATCGGGAGCCCCTCGATTGATTCCTGGTTGTGGGGCTCTGGGTAGGCTCTCTGTTTCCTGGCAAAGCCTCTGTCTGGGGCGCACAATCCTTCAGACCTCCTGCCCCTCCACACCCTCAGATGTGCGTGTGCCTTCGCACAAAGCCGCCCGGAGGCTGGCCTCCCTTGGAGGGAAAGCCTTTTTCCCAGTTGTCAGGACAGAAGAGAAAGCACACAACCCAGGGAGATAAGAGTGTCTGCTGGTGACACACATGCTGGCAAGAAAGGCGGAGGAAGTTCTCTTTGGCTTCCCCCTCCCATTTTCATAGGAAGACTCACCGAGTTCCCTAAAGAGGATACCAAGAACTAGGGAGAAGGGAATTGAGACGATTTGAAAGATCGAGAAAATACTTTCAGACTTTGCCTCCTCAGAATGCACACTGACACTAGAGCCCTCTCCCAGCACAATTGTCTTGTCTTTTTTTTTAAGCCACAAGCTAAAATTCAAAATTCATCCAGGCTGGTCATTCTCTCAAATCAATGTAGGCACATTTAGTTCGGTGGGAGGATTCTGAGCACCTGGCCCAGGAGCTCAAAGGCCTTCAGTTCTTGTTTGGATCACAGGTGTCCTAATGCACTCTGTGGCCCTTTTCTCCAGGGCTCCACTTGAGTCCCTTCCTAAGGGGACAGAGGACCAAATATTTATGTATAATCTGTGTGCGAAAGTGGAGGAGTCCCTTGAAGAACTCTGGACTCCCTCTCATCCTATAGAGTCTCCAAAGTGCACCATGTCATAGGATTCCCTGGTGTGTTGCTGCATCGAGAGGGGTGGGGACTGGTGGTACCAAGGAAGAGGGACTCTTGCTCACTGGGTTCTTTGTCCTGATGAAATCTGTATGTCAAGCGGCAACCTTTTTCATCTCAGGAGACACCAAAGAGTCTTGGGGAGAAGTTGGAATGGTTGATAGGGAGAGAAAAGAGAAAGAAATTAAGCATGAACCTTAACCTTGGGAGAGCCATCTCTTCTCTGACAAAATCCCACTGCCCTGTGGTTCCCTGGCAATTAACCCAAATTGAGACTGAATAAAAATCCTGACATTCAGAGCCTCTTCGGACAGCAAACTCTTCAGGCCAGGCTTTTTGTCTTTCAGAGCCCCACATCCCCCCCCCCTGTATGTGATGTGTGTGTGTGTGTGTGTGTGTGTGTGTGCAGACCTGGGTCAGTGTGTTTCACCTCCACAAACATTTATTTAAATGAAAATGTAAAAGCCACAGTCATCAGGCAAAGGGAGATCCATTGCAGAGCGCTCATGTCCAACCTCCAGTCTTTCTGTGTCTCCAGAGAGGAAAAATATTATATATAAATAAAAATTGTTGCAGTTAAGATTTAATCTGAGATAACATTGTTTTAGGCTAGATTGCTTTTTAAAAGTCTCTTAACCTGACAACTTAATGATCTCATTAACTCCACCAGATAGGGAGATAGGCACAGAAGCAGCGTGCGACAGGGAAAACAAATTAGTGGCAGAGTCTGCATGGGCTCCCCTTGCCTGAAAGACTGGCATTCCCTGGAGAGGCCTCAGAGAAAAAGTGGGGCTGGCTTCTTGAATTGGGGTCCTACCAATCAGAAGATTTCCCTGCATAAATCAATGGAAAAGAGGCAGTCAGGGAATGCTGTGGTCACTGCTGTCTCCAGGAGACTGTCCCCTTCCACCAGAGAGAGATCGGGCCCTGTGAAAGCACTGGAGTTGGTGGCCCAACTGGGATGCTACTTTCTCAGCAACCAGAGCCAGACCTGAGCTCCCCTTGTTAACAGAAAGGGAATGGCTACTCTTCTAACTCACCTGTGCAGAAGAAGCCTTCCTTGCCGGTCTGTCCCTGATTCTCTGGCTCCCAAAGTATACACATTTAAATTAGGCATCTCTCAATACTGTCAACAACTTGAATGACCTGATGCTTGGGATCGATCTCAAATGGCGCAAACATGGGCTGAGGTTTCCTTAGCTTGGGTGGTGTTTAAACTCTCATCTTCCGCCCATTCGGAAGAAGGGAGTCTTAAAGCTGCCCAGACAGTTGGTGGATGGAAGGGACTTCAGAAAGAATCCGAGCAATAAAATCAAGGCCAAAAAACAAAAAGATTTTATTTTAAAAACAAGTTTGTGGGATTTCCTCTCCCCGTTTTGCATTCAGTACATTGTCACTCTGACTTCACAATACTATATACAGGTACACAACATTAAAGAGAGAGAGAGAGAGAGAGAGAGAGAGAGAGAGAGAGAGAGAGACCCTACTTCTGATGGACCTTTTCCAAGAACACTGTTTTGTAATGTGCCAGTGGGAAGGGGGAGAGGTGAGGGGCCTTCCCGAAGCACCAAGTTGGCCTTTGAGGAGGGGAATGCCAATGTGGGGGCGAGTTACTCCAGCCTCCTGAAAGTAAACGGCTACCTATCTTTTGCATGGAAACAATTCTGCCTCTGTACCTGGCCGGACACCCCACCTTCCTACAGAGAGAGAAAGAGAGAGGGAGGCCAAGAGAGCGAGAGTTCAGCAAAGAGATAAGACATGGAAGAAGCATTGAGCAGCCTGGCAGGAGTGTCGGTTTTCTTGGATTTTCCCCTCTTGGCTTAGGGAGCAGAAGCGGGTGAGGGGGCTGGGGTCAAAGGCTCTTCTTCCTGGTTAGGGTGTGTGTGTGTGTGTGTGTGTGTGTGTGTGTGTGTGTGTGTGTGTGTGTGTGTGTGTGTGTGTGTTGACCTCCATCTTTTGTTGGGACAAATGCAGGATAGAGAGAGCACCTGGTGCACCCTCTGGTCTCCAGCCATGCTGCCAGATTCCCAAGGATGATTTTAATATGAACGTGACTTTTAAATGTGCACAGAAAAAACCCTCACTGGGAAATTTCGCTTGAGGAGGGCAGGAGGGGCACGGAAGAGGAGGAGGAAGAGGAGGAACTGGAAGGAAAGTGTGAGCTGGCCACGTTCTGCCAGGAGGCTGTGGCTTTGAGAGGTCCTCTGTCCTCCTGAGTAAGGGTTGGGCAAGCAGTTCCTTGGGGTACCCTCACCCTGCCTTCTCAGGGCCACTCGCTTTCTGAAAGCCGAAGGGGAAGGGCAAGAGGAAGTGGAGGCCTACAACTTTCCTCTGAGGGACCCCCTGGGTCCATCTGAATGCCCCTTCAAAGAAACTGCGGAGGCAAGGTGGGTTCCCTCTGGATGGAGGTTGGGGCAGGGGCGGGGGAGTCGTGGGCGGTTGAGCCACAGCCCAGCTCCTCTCCGTCTTGGCAGGGCAGCGTGGTTCCTCTTTATTGTTAATATTAAATATTCATCTGCACCACCGGCGACGTGTCCTTCTGTGGGTTCGGTTATGGTACAAAGCGGTGACATAAATAGATGGGGCGGGCTAGCGGGTGGGCGGTCAGGTGGAGTGGAGATGAGGTGCTTTCGATTTGCTGACCACCTTCTTCTCTTTGACCCGCCGGTTCTGGAACCAGATGGTGACTTGGCGCTCGGAGAGGTTCGTGGTGGCTGAGATGCGCCGGCGCTTCTCTTTGGTGATGAACTTGCTGGCCGCGTACTCCTTCTCCAGCTCCTTCAGCTGCACCTTGGTGTAGGGCACGCGCTTCTTGCGTCCTCGCCGATAGCTGCTCACCTCGGGCTGTAGGGGCACCACGTCTAGGAGGGAAGGACAGAGTGGGTGGGTGGGAGGACGAGGTGCGGCTGGGATCCTGCCTGGGCTGCCGGCCGGAGCCGCTGCCGGAGGGATCCAGACTGCTGCGGTTCGTGGGAACCCTCCCCACGATTCTTTGCAAGTCTGTTACCCACAAGGACACCAGGAGAGTGAATCTTCGGCATTCCATTCGCCCATGGGGAAAATTGCGGGGGTGGGGGGATGGGGGGGGTAGGGCAGCAAAACATTCAACAATTATGATAAGTACTATTTTAATGCAACGCTTCAAAAGTAAAACTCAATGTAAAAATCCCATGATGAACAAATACACCCAACATTTAAATATATGCGGGAGCCATATTGTAAAATGCCCTCTTGCTTGAGGGTTCTCTATGGCTCTGCACAGTGTTGGGATCTTTGACTCTCCGCAGAGTTCGCTCCTCCTCCCCCAATCCCACCTTGGCCTCCCAAGCCTACAGGGTCTCCGGCATTCAGAAAACGCCTTCCTTTTTGCACTGAGCACATCAGCTCTCCTCTGCCCCTTGTTATCAGGGTGTTTAGAGGCAGCTCTGGCAGGGAGAGGGGCGGTTGCAGGTAGAGAGGTCTGGACACTGCTGCTAAGTGGTCCTGTGAAGTCAGCCTACTTAGAAGGCATTCACATTCAATTCAGGGTAGGGCCTGGGATGGAATGACTGTGTTTGTTGACAGATACCTAACTAACATTACCCACTTTAAGGGGTTCCAGGGACCAAGACAGAGATAAACAGATTCTTCCAAGGTGGAGATCCATCCTCCAGGGTCTACCTACTTGACCCGGGTTCCCGTCTTCCAATGAATGACTCTTGCCTCCCTTCAGTGGGTCTTACAAATGGCCCTTCATTAAAACAGAAGGGACTCTACACCAACCCCCTCTTCTTTCCTTCCAGGCTGGAGTAACTGCCTCCACCTCATGTAGTGACCAGATTCCCAGGCCCTGAAGATACTGTTATCCCGACCACTAAGGGTCCAATCTCTCCTTTCTTTAGGTCCCTGAAAATTTTATAACAACTTTAAAAAGTCAATGATATGCTTCCCGTCCACCATTCTTTCCCCTGTTAATAAAAGGTCATGGCAACACTTTGGCTGGTAAATGGGGAACTAGGGAGACTATTTGAATAATTCACCCTTCAGCTTCTCTCCCTTCCCCCACCTGTGTAATTGTTAGACTTTTCCAGAAGGACTCTATAGGAAGGGCTGGACCTTAGGGATTTCCCCTTCATTCTCATGTCCTTTGGAGGCACAGACACAGCCCAAAGTGAAGACACAGCTCTTCCTGAAACTCCATCCTCACAAAACACCTTCCCTACACCCTTGACCACTGCGTCTGTTTTTCCAGGGACCCATGTTTATTCAGGAGGGCCAGGGCCAGGATAAAAATTGGGGGGGTGGATGGTCAGAAGAAAATGGACAGGGAGAGGGGGTGTGTACAGGTGGGGGGTGGGGTGGGTCCATGTCTTGGCTTGGCTGTCTTCACAAAGACAGCTTCCCAGGAAAATTGTTTGTTTGATTCTGAAAAACAAAATAACTCCACTTGAACAGCTCAGATTCTGTAGGTTAAAAATAAACTTTGTTTTACAAGATAATTTTAAAAAGATCTCTGCGTTCTCAGATGTGTTGTGATTTCTAGATCGGGGCATGATTCAGAAAATGAAGGCTCTGAGGCTGACAGAAAAACCAACAAGGTAAAAAAAATTTTTTTAAGCCCCAAGAGGGTAAATAACAAAAAAACCCAAGAGAGTAAGTGGTGATACCATGAAGTTTTGTATTTAATCTTCAGAAGATTTCTTTATTTTATTAAACCAATTGCACAAGAACTGGAATCCGAGGCTCAAAGTGGGCAAAATAACCAAAATGGCAGAATCAGATTTTTAAACCCAGATTTTCTGACTGTAAGCATAAAGCTACAGCAAATTTTCAAATGGGAAAAAGTGACCTAATACAACCCAGTTTTAAACACCTCTTTTCCCTTCAGGATTAAGAAGGATAAAAGTGGGCTTGGGTTTCCTCATTACTCAGATAATTGTCCCTAATGTTTTTATCCCACTTTCTGCAAAGTCTCATAATTACCTAACCAATTTTGGGCCTCTGAATACCAATTCTAAATTTTAAATGAGGTTTAATTGACACAATCCTAAAAATCAATTAAAAATACACAACTGGTCTAAGCTAGTTATTTCTCTTTATAGAAAGCAGAGGATGGATTTGGCGATTTCTCATGGGTCAGACCAAACTGATGGTTGGTTTGACCTCCTGTGGAAACAGCTCCAGCCTCTCCTTCTCAAGAAGCCCCTTTTTTATTGTCTGTTGCCTTGTTTGGGAAGGAAGTGGATCTGCAGACATGGAAACATGGGGTCGCTTAGTCCAAGAGTTGTGTCTACACTGCTTAAAGTCAGTGGGAACTTGGTTATACATTTTCCAATCCACCTTTCCCCAGTTTCCCTCCAGAGTACAAACCACTTCATACCTGGAAACCTACAGTACACCTTGGGTAATAGAATGAAAATCAGATCAATGCTCTCCTTCCTCAGTTTTCTCTTGGGGCTAAGGGGCTTCTATGCCCCATTGCTCACTTGCTCTTAACTGCCAACCCCATAACTTGGCCCTGGCCTCTGAAGAGAACACTGTTCTGGTCTGATTTGGTGAGAAGTACTGGTTGCTCTTCTCAACCAACCCAAGCCCAACACCTGGCTTGTCAGTAGGGACTCTCAGAAAGACCCAAATAACCCACTGTTGCACTTTCTTTCTACCACTGTCTTCTCGGCCCTGCACCCCACCTCCCTCTCTCTATTTCCCTCTCAGTTTCTGATTTTCTTGTGGAATATAGGCTTCTCCCCCCAAAAAAAGAAAGAAAGAAAAAAGAGTCTACACTCACCACAGAGAGACAACCCACCAACACAGAAGTGAGGCCAGGGTCTGTATAATTGGGGCACAGAAGAAGCCACAATACATGTTGGCCCTAATTACCTAGATCTTTCTGAACAATTGCCTCCATCTCCCACACCAGCCTAGACTGCCAGAGGTGAGTTTGCTCAGAGCCAGAGGCCCTGAACAGAGACAGTAGTGTTTATGCCTAGATGCTGCCGCACAAACCACAATTGCATAGACAGAGTTATCTAGAAATCTCACTACTTCTAAAGGCTTGCTGTGTGGGTAGGGAGATGGAGGGTGACTGAAGATAATTTCCTTTTCATCTGCCTCTTGCCTGGACCTCTGAGCTCTCTGAGACACACCAGCATGGTTGTTTCCACCAGGCGAGGTGTGAAGACATAACTGCAGTGACGGCACTGGGCTTCCTACCCATTTCTACATCATGCTATTCAATGTGTAGCCAATGTCAACTGAGCTGTCTTTTTATATTTCAGACACATTTTTCCTTAAGAGGCTGTGATGAGAAGGCATTTGTATTGTAGGGTTTTTTCCCCCCCCCGGGGTGGTGGTGGTGGTGGTGGTGGTGGTGGTGTGTGTTCTGAAGTGTTTATTTTGCTCCAGGATATTTCTGAGCTCCTCTTGGTTCTTCACTCCCACCCCATTCCACACACACACAAGAATGGCAGAGCACTCAGGTCTGGCAGCTCCGCTCCTTCTTCATCCATTGCTCTCGGTCTGGTCTGGCTTGCCCCATCCACAGTGGGCACCTGTATCCTGTCCCTAGACTTTTTGACATGGCTCTTCAACTGTTCCAGGAATTTATGCTGTATCCCTATCTCCTAAGGAGCTTTTCATTTGGGTGAGATGGGGAGTTAAAGGACCATCTTTCAATAATGCATCACTGCCAGCCTGCATGTGAATTGACTGTCATCTAGACATGTGTCATTATGTCTCACACTAGGTTATTATAACAGAAATTATATTATATTAAAATACTATTGCATGCAGTGGAGGTGATGCATGACACTAAAATCCTGCCATACTTACATCTCCTGGCTGTTAGAAATGGGTGCCCAATGTTGGTCCTACCCTAGTATTGAATTGTGTTGTACTTCGTAATATTTACAAGTCATTTTAGATATATTTACAAGACGCTATTTACACTCTAACAACATTCTGTGCGCGCTCTCTCTCATTTCTTAGTGTGTGTGTGTGTGTGTGTGTGTGCTAGCTATCTTTATTCCCAATCCGGATGCAGAGGAATTTCAGGCCCACCCAGAAGAGGTCTTGGGGTCTAAATTTTGCAATGAAAATTTCCCTAGACCAGTATGTGGAGCGGTGTGTGTGTCTAGAAAGTGCAGGGAGGGAGACATTTGTGACTGCTCAGAGCACCCCCGCAGGACCCCTGTAGACACCAGATGGGAAAACTGGACTCCAGTGCTCAATTCGCTCAAGCCCAAATCCTGATTTCTCTCACAGTCCGGAGTGGAGGCTTCTGACACTGTTTTGGGAGATATCTGACTGGCCTTTCTCATCTCCTGTTCAACTATGGCATCAACAGAAGAGGGAGGAATCTTCCTGTAGAGAGTCACACAAGACTAAGACTGAGGGGTCCCTGGACTGGGCCTTTCTTCCTCCTCCTACCTCTCCTCCTCACTCCCTTCTTTCCCTCTTTTACTGGTCCTCATTAGAAGGAACTGGCAGTGGGGACATGGAATACTGGTGTGAAGTTCAGTGTACCAGAGAGGAAAATATTTTATATCCCAGGGAGGGATGCAAGCCCCTTTCTCTCCACACCCTCTCCAAGCTTTTTTTTTTTTTAAAGCTCAAATGTTCCATCCATAATCAGGAAAATTTGCGACCAAATTTTAAAAATAAGTCAAGAAAAAAGGAAACACTTTACACTTCAGCAGATCCTAGCAAAATTAGACCGCTTAAAATAAACTGCCCAGTCTCTGAGCAATCCTGAAGAAAATACAGGCAAACGAGTGATGGGGATTCTTATTTTTTTCAATCAAGAATTCAGTGGGTTGAGCGTTTGTCCTGAAGATCGTGGATGGCAAGGCACCCAGGGCCCACCCATCCCTATTCTTGCCGGAAGCGGCCTCTGGGGGACCCAGATCCCAGCGAGAGGCTGGAGCCAGCAGGGGGAGGAGGCGGCGAGCTCCGGAGCCGAGCCGAGCCGGCGGCCCCGGCGCCTGGGCGCCTGTGATTGCTTCACCCCCGGCCGGCAGCTCCGGGGAACGTGTCGGAGCAGATTTCTTCCCCGGCGCATTCCTCAGCGCAGCTCGCCCGGCCGGCTCCCGCGGCTGCCCAGCCGAGCGGGCGGGCGCGCCGGGGCCAGACGGCGGGGGTGGCTGGGGCGCGGGTGGGGGCCCCCCCGGGGCAGGTAGAGCGGGGAGGGGTCGCCCTGCGGCGGCGGCGGCCGGCCCAGGCCTTACCTGGGAAGGGAGACTTCCAGAGGTGGGCGGACTGGGACTGCTCCTTGGAGCAGTACACCTGACTGTCCCAGCCGTTGGAGAGAGCCCAGTGCTGGTAGCCTTCGACGGGGATGAGCGCGTCGTGACGCGGCTCTGGGTGCCCGCTGATCCCGGGCACCACCGACACGTCCAGGTAGCCGGGCATCGCCTGGTAGGAGCTGGCGAAGCTGGGGTAGAAGGCGAACTCCTTGGCCCTGGAGGATAGGTCGTCCCCCGGCAGGGCGCCCGACGGCTCCGGGTACTTGTCGCCCGGGTGGTAGGCGCACGGCTTCTGCTGCAGGTTCACGTTGTGCGACAGGCGGCAGCCGTAGTAGCTGCCCCCGAACGGGTAGCC